TAAGGTTTGCCAAACTCATGTTCAATAGCGGTACCGTATTCTCCCGATGATAAAGTCACTTCTTTTGCTCTTCTTCTTTATCAAAATGACCCCAAAGTTTTGCTATCCGGAGTCTTGTAATCCGGAGAATACGGTACCAATTCTAGATACGGTACCAGTATAAACAACGCAACGACCGAGACATATTTTCGGCTTTAACTAAGCTGTAAAAACTCTGTCATCGCGACAACAATGATGCTATTCGCAAAGCGCCCTTCGGCGGGGATCTCAATCACTCTACAAGACACGGCAGCACTAAGAACGACAATAACTCGTTAAAGGTCAACTCCAAGTGGCGCTAAAAAGCCATTCGCTGATTTAGCTAAAAGTTGCATAAACGGAAGTGTTTCGGTACGATTTAATGAGGGCTCAAAAAGTGTCCACAGACTCAACCAAAATGACGGAAAGTCCCCAAAAAGATGCGTCGTGCGGCGAACGTCACACGCACGAACAGCATCAAAACGCGTCCAGAGAGGGAGGCAGCTGCCAATCAGCGCGTTCTCCCCCGATCCGCCGAGAGTAAATCAAAGACTAAAGAGATCTCCTGCTCAGATGTGCGTTGCGGCAGTGCCGCACGTGTGTGGACGCAGCGATGTTGAACTTTAGCCATGTTTGTTTGTTATTGTACAGAGTTAAGACTGATAACTTTAATCTAAATTGTCTTATGGTTGTCATTGTTTGACTTGCATCCCACTGAGATTTTTGCACACAAGCATTGATATACGGTGCCTTTTCTGGAAGACTTTGTTGTTCTTTCCTGGATTTTTCTGTTTGCGCGTAGGCACTTTAAGATGTTTCTTGTTTTTGTTTGTTGCGCTTGCACCCGATTCAAGAGCCGAATGGCTCACAGGGCTATACCTAATAAATGAACCGAACTGAAACTGAAATTTGGCCCCGCGCGTAGCAAACCGCGCTCACCAGAGTGCTCAACTACCGTCCATAGCCGCCCCGCGCGCACATCCAGACGTCAGGATGCCAAGTCTGGCCACACGTAACACGGCCACCGTTTGACTTGCTCCCAAAGAGGTACTGATTTTATTAACTCCCTGGAGGAACGATGGGCTGAGTCAACCCCCAATCGCCGCAACCTCCCCCCCCCCTACCCCAACCAGGATTTGAACTCGCAACCTACCCCGATTGCGAGACGCTCGCTCTACCTTCCGAAGCAAGCACCTGGCTGGTTCTATCCAAACCCACGGTGACACTGGCAACGAAAATGTAAGCAACAGTTGAAAGGCGCGCAAGCGGGACCTGGGGGAGGTGACCTCTTGAAAAGAGACGGGAAGACGAACCACGTAGACGAGGCAGCGAGCGCCAACGAGAGACATCACCTTGACCGAGTCACGGATAAGGGTTTTGTTTCATCGGGGGGGGGGGGGTGGTTTGATGATCAGAGCTAAAATCTGCGTCGTTAAGACGCAGCTGACTGACGATGTAAATGTATGGACGACGGTGCTTCAGGGCATTTATGGATGCTGTTCTTTCAATTTTCCCTCCGTCTCTCTCTCCCTCCCTCTCTCTCCCTCTCTCCTTTTTCTCTCTCAAAGTTTCATTGAGACCATCGAGGCAGCTCGACCCATCACCCATCGCCATCCTCTCCCATCGTCGTCTAAGGTCGCCAGGTACTAACGGCAGTGTTGCCTCATCCACCCCTTCCTCCTGCGTGTGGGGTCGCCACCTGTCCCGGCTTTCTCCCAGGATCGTCCTCTTTTTTTTTTAATGGGTTAGCTCTCCCCCGGGAATTTCTGCAAGTCTTCCCGGGACGTTACGAGTCTCGCTTTCTTTTCTTTTTGTCAATTCCGCGTTACCACGTAACTCGAAGGCAACGCATCCACCACGCGATTCGCCATCCAACCCCCCCCCCCCCCCCCACGAACCCGCTAGCACCGTGAGGTATTCTTCCTCCCATGACTCGTTCCGGTGGTTGTTTTTGTTTGTTTGTTTGTCCGTCAGAGGTGGCAACGCTGGCTTACTGCTCGATGTAAACGACAAACCTGGGAAAGGGAGACAACAAACGTCAATATGACGTTTGTTTATCGATGTCTCGAGCCAGGCGCGCGGTGAGCATTGGGGGCAGTGGGCGCGCTTGCTTCGGGTAGGTGGTGGGGGTGGTGGCGGCAGCGGTGGGAACCCCAGGGTCCGGGAAGACCCCGTCTCTGAAGACGGGACGGCCGCTCCCGTGGCTGGGAGAACCCACGCGCTCGAGGTGTCACCCACGGACTCGAGGTGTCACCCACGGGCAGATGGGCCCCCACCCCCCCTCCCCATGTGAGTGCGAGAGAGTGGATGGGCGCCTTGGTTGGCGAAGTGTGGGAACGCGAGGACCTCCTCCTTCTCCTCCTCGTTCCTCGTCGCCGTCAGCCTTCACACCTCCGCATCCGCAGATTCCACTCGTGGCATAAACCAGCGCCGCGGGTTTCACTTCGCGACCGACTTGGGTGCCAGGTTTTCGCGGTTTCGCGGAGTTCAGCTCTCCCGGCGTGTTTTCGTGTCGAGCCGCGTGCTGCTGGGCAGCGTGGATGTCGGACTGCTTCGCTCCCAGCTCGCGGCGATCGCGCCGAGCGAGCAAGCACAGTCCGAAGAACAAAGGAGTCGGGGAGTCGAACTCTTCTCGCGCGTTACTCACCCCTCGGGTTCCCCCTCCGAGTAGTTCCCTGCCCGAACATGCCAATGCAAAGCCCCTGCCGAAAATGTGTCTGTACGCACGTTAAACTTATTTCGCACCGTAAGTAGACAAACCGCGCTAATCGGAGGTGCAGGGGGGGGGGGAATGGCAACAGACGAAACACGAAACGCAGTTGTGAAGAAATGAGTTTTCAATCTGGATTTAAAAGTGCATAGCTCCAGTGGCTTCCTAATATTGGGAGAGCGTTCCAGACGGCCGCAGATTTAAACTGAACACCGTTCAGCCGGCAGGAATTAATGCAATTGAGTGCGAGAGAAACCTTATACCCTTATTGTTTATCTTCATATCAAGCACGCGTACCTCACATTTTATTTCTCAGATTTCTCCACCTCAGGAATGTAAGGAAGTTAACCCCCTGACATTGAAATGGTGATTGGGCCCAGGAACGCTCTTCTGGGTGGATTGTACCTTGTTCTTACAAGAACAAATCTTCCCATAATGCAACGTGCCAGCAACATTTTATGCTTTTAACATGCGTTTATTTAGTAGTCGTTTATTTAATTTTAATTGAGGGGTTGCCTGTTACTCGATAGCTATTAATAGTGAAAATATTCATGTCAACATGAAACGTAGTCAAACGAAAGCATTTTTTTTATTGTTTTAATTCTCATCAGGCCAAAGTGTGTTAAAAAGTGCAGTCTCCAAACTCTAATAATCCACTCTTTTCATATTTCCGTGCTATGAAGAAGTGTCATTGCCCCCAAAACGTCACCTATTATATTATTTTCATTTTAAGACTGTAGTCTGATTGACAGAATGTGTCGCGTCGAGTTCATCTGCTGAACAGATGCCACTGTCTTCATTCATGACTTGATCCTCCCCCCCCGCCCACCCCGAGTGTAACAAAAATAAACTTTTCAGGAGCCGTCTCACATTGGGACGATGACTAAAAATTCCTCCGTTTCATTTTATTCGTCAAAAAGCTGTGGGGGGGGGGGGGGGAGAGGGGGCAACCGAATCGTCTCGGCGAAGCTTTTCCTGGATAAACCCGAGTGGCTAATTCATAAACCCGAGTGGCTAATTCATAAACCCGAGTGGCTAATTCATAAACCCGAGTGGCTAATTCATAAACCCGAGTGGCTAATTCATAAACCCGAGTGGCTAATTCATAAACCCGAGTGGCTAATTCATAAACCCGAGTGGCTAATTCATAAACCCGAGTGGCTAATTCATAAACCCGAGTGGCGAATTCATTAACCCGAGTGGCTAATTCATAAACCCGAGTGGCTAATTCATAGACCCGAGTGGCTAATTCATAAACCCGAGTGGCTAATTCATTAACCGTGGAGCGACTATTTTACACGCCTCCTCCCTCGCCCCCCCCCCCAACCCCCCATGTTGCCAGCCACATCCAGGTGTCGCTTACGCCTCCAGTTTACACCGGACGAGAACCCCAACTGCTGTAAGATGAACACGTCATTAGGTGATGATGATGCGGTAGTGCACAGAGCACAAACAAACTCAACACGATCGTCAAACGCACTGCGGCTTAAATAAAATAAATCACTGGCGATGTAACGCATAGTAGACTTTCATGACCAATATCATCCATCATAATACAGGGTTTTTTTTGGGGGGTTAGATCGCGAAAATTTTAGATCGCGTAAACTTTAGATCGCATAAATTTACGCGATCTTAAATTAACGCGTACATTTACTACTAAACGCACTCTTTGACACAAACCCCCCCCCCCCAAAAAACCTGTATTATTGATCACTGGTGATGTTTCATGCAATAAGCCTTCTTCACAGTGCACAGAGAGCTCAGAAGGGTAGAGTGGCCTCTCTTTGCGATGTGAAGAAGGGCCAATGCCTGAAACGTCACCTAAAAAACCTTCTCTGTCCAAGGCCACAGTGTTATTGAAGGAATGAGTTGAGTTTTATTTTTCCTCGATGCAAAATCTAAAAGGGAAATGCACTGCGGGGCCCTCCTGTCAAACAGTGCGTTTAGTGTTCCTCGACAAAGGACAATAATTACCAGCGGTGGTCTCCTGCCATGGGAATGTGGAGTTGTCAATCACAGGGCTCGGTGGTCAGCGATGGGAGACAAGTGCAACGCCATCCTCGTTTGAGCGGCGAGGACGATTGAACTTTCGCCCGACTCGCCTCTGGCGAGCTTCGGTCGCACCTCGGTCCGTCGCGTCTCCCACACCTCTGCCCCTCCGAGCTCCACCGTGTGTTTCATGAACTGCCAGCGGGACCGTTAAACACGCGTGGGCAGGGAGCGTGGGAGTTTCCTTCGACGATCTTGCCAACGACGACCGCGGCGAGACCCACTTAATGCGCGTCAACCGAGCAGCGCTCCCTGCACCGTCCGTCCCGCGCTGCGGCGTTCGCACCTCGGCGCCCGGGCCATCGCGAGACGTGTCGGCCTCCCACAGGGAACCTCTGGTGGAGCTGCACGGGAATGTGGGAGGGTGCGATGGGGGGAGGGGGGGTGGCATGGTAGGAGGAGGAGGCGGGGGGCTTGGTAAGGGGAGACAAGGGAGCGAGCAAACCCACGCGTGACGCCACGGTGTTTGACTACATTTTGAAAAGATGAAGAGCACATTGGCAGTGGTGCACGCGTACAAAAAAAAAACAAAAGACGTTTCAGACAATGGACTCCGATCGTGGCCCTTCATCACTTTGCAATGGAGGAGGGCCCCAGTGCCCACAACGTCACTTATTCTGTGTATTTGTGTACTCTTGAGGGGCAGTGTTATTGACAAATGTGTTGCGTTTTTGTTGTTTTACAGACAGGTCAAGCCCGAATACCAGAGGGCCAAAGTGTCTCCCTGGGGAAAGTGAACAAAGGGAAAAACACATTTTATATTGGCATGCTGGTGGTGGAAACTCCACATTCTTACGGAAGAAACCGATGTCTCCAGGACAACTGTTTCCATCCCACACAGTGGTCCTAGTTTTATAAACCCTGCAGAGAGGACGACGATCATTGACCAAGCCAGACTATGAGAAGACATTTGAGCATTCAACTTTGCAATTGCGATTTGAGTGCCCGTTTGACCGTGGCGGTAGCTACACTTGGGGCTGTTTGTGGCTGTTCGGTGACAAAACTGGAAAATGCAGGGAGACTCCCCGAATATGAATCACGACTGCCTGCAAATTTCATGCACATCGTGCTGGAAAATTCCGGCCGTAACCATTCGGAGTGCTCGAAAATGTCTGCTACCGTGCGAAATGAACCTTCCGACTTGACATCCTCGCGCACCGTTCGCTCCCAGGCTCATCAGCGCCTCGCTGCGCGTTCCCTTAACGTGCGGGGGCTCACACGAGGGCTTTGTGCCGCCGTTGATTATTTAACATTTTTATTTTGTTGACAGCCTCGACCGAGACGCGTCGCCGCCGTCGTGCCGGACGATAACCGACCGCGTTCGCGCAGCGTTAGCCGCGCGGCACCGAGGTTTTAGGGACTCCCTCCTCCTCCTCCTCCGCGTCCCGCCCGACACCCGGCGGGGAAGCTTCTCACAGCCAGGGCGTAACATCGCCACGCGCGGTGCGAACGGTGCGACTTTGCGATAAACACACGCGGCGGCTCGTCGCTGGTGGCATGCGCGCCCACCCTCCACGCTCCTCCCCTGGACCCCGGCGACAGCGACAGCCGAGTTGAAGCGACGGCGAGTGTCACGCCGCCGTGCTGACACCTCTCGGGATGCCGGGTCAAAAAATCCCGGTCACGTCCGCCGGCGATTAACCGGGGTGCTCAAGTGCGGCGGAGTTGGCGGCCACGAGCGCGGTCACCGCCGATGGACTGTACAAAAAAAAAAATCGCATTTAATCCAATTCGGTTTTCCATTTGAGCTGCCTTACTTGCGAGCCATGACAACTCGATAGTGCAATCGCGATTTAGAGAGCAACTGATGACAACCGCATCCTAAGATGCCGCACAAAAGCAAGTGAAGGACCTGCGTCCCCAGGGGAAAATCAACAGCTGCAAATATCCCGTTCTCTGTATCGCAAGAGGTGAAGGTGCGGCCCTGCAACTGCTCGCTCACGGCACTGCTGGTAGAGCGGCCTCCACCCAACGGAGCTCTCAAGGCTATTGTATATACTGCATTGGAACGCTCTTCCTTCCCATGTTAGGAAGCCACTGGAGCTATGCACTTTTAAATCATCATCTAGGTTGACAAACGAATTCTTTAAAACTGCTTTTTGTGTTTAGTTTTGTTGTCCTTCCCACGCACCTCCGATTAGCAATACTCGCTACGTACGGTGCAACAGAAGTTCGACATACATATATATATACCATTTATACGAAGAGGCGTGATTGCCACGTGCGTGATGAACGCTGCAGGGCACATACAAGGCACTGCTCCTTCGTGTTGATGAAGAGTCTTTGGCACGGCTTAGGCAGAGCAAGCGTCACACCCACCCAGCGCCCGGCCAATCTACGTGAATATTTGGGGGGGTGTGACGATATGAGCCCCGCGGTTCGGAGCTGGTAGCCGCAGTTGCACACCGTCTACTGCAGCGACTACAGAAGTAATTCTCTGACACCACCGCTCGCCGCCAAGCTGCGGACGGAGAAATCCCGGTCCCGTGGGCGCGTTGCCGACGGCGCATTCGGAACGTAGCTCGGTTGGGAATAAACGGCAAACGCGGAAGCCCGCCGCAGCCCACTACGACGCGGAGGGGCGGGAGAGGAACGCGAGCAGGCAGCGGCGCATGTCACGCAGCTCCTGCACGGGGGGGTGGTCCTCGCCAAAGTGGAGGCTGAGCAGGGCGGCCGCTCTCTCTTCCACCTCCAACGCCTCCCGCGCCCGGCGCCTAAACGACGGCAGCACACGAGCGACGTCGTGGGTGAGGCGGGAAGCGAACGGTTCGGGAGGGGGGGCGCGCGGGGACCCATAACACCTGGGTCTGTCCCGTTACCTCTCGTCAGCGAAACGTCGACACTTCACGTGGCCTCGAAGTGCACCGAGTCTGGCACAAGCGCCGTGGCGACGTCAGCGCCACTCGGTGGCGAATGGCGGCTGTTGTTGTTGTTGTTGTTGTTTGTTTGTGTGCACGTGATGTGTACACGTACGTACACGCTGCGGGCCGCGAGTTACCCGTTGAAGAGGAGCTGCGTGAGCTTGAAGAGCTCGTACGCCGTCTCGGGGCTGCCGGGCCCAAAGCGCGCCTCCACGGACACCAAGCTGCTGCGGAGGTGACGAGCCGCATCCTCCCACCGCCCTGCAGCCACCAACGCAAACGCGCGCATTAGCGCGGGGTAGCCGGCCACACCGCGATGCGAGCCATGTCGCGGGCTCGGCCACACTGTGGAGCAATGCCACACCGCGGGCTCTGTCACATAACAAGGCCGGCCACACCATGGGTTGGACACCGGCGGACCAGCTGCACCATGGGATTGGGCCACTCCATGTGGTCGGCCACAACACGAGGTTTGGACACTCCATGAGACTTGGCAGTATTAGAAACCGGTCACATTACAAGGGGTCGGCCACATCGCGAGGCTGGGAACACCACGGCGTAGGGCGTGGTGGCAAAAGGGATCCATCGCTTTGGAGGCGAGCGTTGGTGGATCACGTGCAGATTTGCAAACCTGGGCTCCATGGTTGACCAAGCAATGGCAGTACAGAAAGTGGGTTGGTGAATGCATTTATCGTGACCTTTTGAGTCTTGTTCGCCTTGCTACGAATATTCAGTTTCTTCTTCATCATCATTAAAGTGCGATTGATCAAACATCCCGAAGCAGGACCCCCATAGCATTGCTGGGTGTTGCTGGTGTCTGATGCCTGGCCAGCCCATGCTGCTTATTTCCACCGTCTGGGAGGAAAAAGCGGTACCCAGAATTCGACAAAGCGGTACAACCCGCACCTCCGATTTGCACGGTTGGCTACTTACAGTGAGAAAGAAGTTCAACATACTCACGATTTAACTTTTTATTTTTTATTTTTATCAGGCAAAGGACCACAGCTCTTTTGTTAGAAGCCGCCTGGCTACAAATGATAGCTCAACGAAGTGGCCTATCACGTGGAAATTTTATAGACAGCCCAAAACTCTAAACGCATGTTTCTAAATGTGGAGGGAAAAAAAACAGAGGATACGGAGAAAAATCCACGTGACTCCAAATATACAGCAGCAGCAGGCGTCAGGGTCAGGATCAAACCCACGGCCTCCTGTATACCAGGCGAGGTAGTTAACATCTCCTAGCCACCGTGGCACCCACACTCATGCATGCCCGAAAGCACATCACGGGACGGTGCACGGCACCGCCGCACAACCGCACGTGGCGGACACGCAGCCCGGTTGCTATGGTTACCTTGTGCGGCGAGCACCTGCGCGAGGCAGTCCGAGGCCTCGCCCAGGGTGGCGTGGAGAGGGTTCAGCAGGCTACGGCCGCGGCGCAGGCACTCGGCCAGCACCTTGGACGCGACCTCTGACCGCACGGGAGGAAGCGTGCGCACGGTGGTGGGGGGGGTTTGGGGAGGGCGGCACCGATAACCGAGTCACCTGACCGCCTTCCGCCGCTCCTTAAGCGTCGCGGACTGGAAACGAATCTACGTCGGCAGCCTCTGGTCTGGGCCGAGTTTGCCGGTGCTATGCGCACCGCTTTTCAGTATCTAATAACAGGTCAGCTCGCATTGCTGTTGAACTTTTGAACTTCTGGGGTGTGATTTTAATTCCCATCCTACCAATATTTTCAAAAAAATTTGGGTCCCCAGAAAACCCGTTATGTGTACATGTTTGTGTGTGCATGCAGATGTGTCTGTGTGTGCTAACAGGTGTGTACAGGTGTGTGTGGGCTTACAGTTGTATACAGGTAAGAATATATGTACAGATGTGCATACAGGTGTGCATGGCATACAGATGTCTACACAGGTGTGTCTAGGTGTGTACAGGTGTGAGGACAGGTGTGTGTACGCTGGTGAGCATGTTTGTACAGCTGTTTGTACTGGTGAGAGTGTTTGTACAGGTGCGAATGTTTGCACAGGTGTGTAGAGGTGTGAGTATACAGGTGAGCGTGTACAGGTGAGCGCGTTTCAAACCCGGCGACGCGATATTGATTCCCGCTCACAGCTAGCATTGGCGATGAATATTAGAACTGAATCAGAATAAATTTTGATTTAAAGCTTTCGTGACTGCAGTAATTCATATTCTTAGTTCTTTCGGTAAAGTCACGTTTATTATTTTGTTGTTTCCCTTCAACGTGACTTTACCGAAAGAACTAAGAATATGAATCAGAATATTTGTTTATGCTGCAGGAGGAACCCGATGAGCTATGAAGCTCTTTTTCACAGATATCCAGCAATGTGTTAATATGCTGTAACTGATCCCGTGACTCCCCTAGGTCGACTCATCCTTAAATTAGTACCCGGAGAGTTACCGGGGAGGTAACGGCGGCCTTTGTAGAGTTGGCCACCCACAACTTATTGTGCCGTGCGCCGACTCTCAATAGACGTTCCCCAACAGCACTTGCCGCCCGACAGCCCTTGTGAGCGCGCGCCGTGGGGCGGGGGGCGGGGGGGCGGGGGGCGGGGGGGGGCCTCACCGGGTTTCCCGTGCTCCTCGAACGCGCTCCGAGCGCGAGCGACCAGCGCTCGCAGCTCCGCGTGCGACGCCAGAAGTGGCGCACGCGAGAAGCGGCGCCCGCAGCGCACGGACGAGCACTCCATCTCATCCACGGGCGTGCTCTCACCCCCGCGCTGTTGGCAGCAGATGTGTGTCACAAGCTGCTGTGTTAGTGAGCCACGTTAGTGAGCTGTGTTAGTGAGCTGTGTTAGTGAGCTGTGTGTCACGGGCCGTGTTAGTGAGCTGTGTCACGAGCCGTGTTAGTGAGCTGTGTTAGTGAGCTGTGTTAGTGAGCTGTGTGTCACGGGCTGCGTTAGTGAGCCGTGTTAGTGAGCTGTGTTAGTGAGCTGTGTGTCACGAGCTGCGTTAGTGAGCTGTGTTAGTGAGCTGTGTGTCACGAGCTGCGTTAGTGAGCTGTGTTAGTGAGCTGTGTGTCACGGGCCGTGTTAGTGAGCTGTGTTAGTGAGCTGTGTTAGTGAGATGTGTTAGTGAGCTGTGTGTCACAAGCTGCTGTATTAGTGAGCCGCGTTAGTGAGCTGTGTTAGTGAGCTGTGTGTCACGGGCCGTGTTAGTGAGCTGTGTTAGTGAGCTGTGTGTCACGGGCAGTGTTAGTGAGCTATGTTAGTGAGCTGTGTTAGTGAGCTGTGTGTCACAGGCCGTGTTAATGAGCTGTGTTAGTGAGCTGTGTGTCACGGGCAGTGTTAGTGAGCCGTATTAGTGAGCTGTGTTAGTGAGCTGTGTGTCACGGGCTGTGTTAGTGAGCTGTGTTAGTGAGCTGTGTGTCACGGGCCGTGTTAGTGAGCCGTGTTAGTGAGCTGTGTTAGTGAGCTGTGTGTCACGGGCCATGTTAGTGAGCTGTGTTAGTGAGCTGTGTGTCACGAGCTGCGTTAGTGAGCTGTGTTAGTGAGCTGTGTGTCACGGGCCGTGTTAGTGAGCTGTGTTAGTGAGCTGTGTTAGTGAGCTGTGTGTCACGAGCTGCGTTAGTGAGCTGTGTTAGTGAGCTGTGTGTCACGAGCCGTGTTAGTGAGCTGCGTTAGTGAGCTGCGTTAGTGAGCTGTGTGTCACGAGCCGTGTTAGTGAGCTGTGTTAGTGAGCTGTGTGTCACGAGCCGTGTTAGTGAGCTGCGTTAGTGAGCTGTGTTAGTGAGCTGTGTGTCACGAGCCGTGTTAGTGAGCTGCGTTAGTGAGCTGTGTGTCACGAGCCGTGTTAGTGAGATGTGTTAGTGAGATGTGTGTCACGAGCTGCGATAGTGAGCTGTGTGTCACGAGCCGTGTTAGTGAGCTGTGTTAGTGAGCTGTGTGTCACGAGCTGCATTAGTGAGTTGTGTTAGTGAGCTGCGTTAGTGAGCTGTGTTAGTGAGCTGTGCTAGTGAGCTGTGTTAGTGAGCTGCGTTAGTGAGCTGTTAGTGAGCTGCGTTAGTGAGCTGTGTTAGTGAGCTGTGTGTCACGAGCCGTGTTAGTGAGCTGTGTTAGTGAGCTGTGTGTCACGAGCTGCGTTAGTGAGCTGTGTTAGTGAGCTGTGTTAGTGAGCTGTGTGTCACGAGCCGTGTTAGTGAGCTGTGTTAGTGAGCTGTGTGTCACGAGCCGTGTTAGTGAGCTGTGTTAGTGAGCTGTGTGTCACGAGCTGCATTAGTGAGCTGTGTTAGTGAGCTGCGTTAGTGAGTTGTGTGTCACGAGCTGCATTAGTGAGTTGTGTTAGTGAGCTGCGTTAGTGAGTTGTGTGTCACGAGCTGCGTTAGTGAGCTGTGTTAGTGAGCTGTGTGTCACGAGCCGTGTTAGTGAGCTGCGTTAGTGAGCTGTGTGTCATGATGTGTTGTAAGCTGGTCCTAGGTCTCCCCTTGATCCACTCAGCCTCAAATTAGCACCTGGTGCGGTGTGTAAACATCGCCTACTAGGCAGACAAAGGCGGCCAGGCGTGGTGCTGACCACCCACCCCCTCCTGTGCCGTGACGACCTTCATACAGTGGGGGAAAAAAGTATTTGATCCCCTGCTGATTTTGTACGTTTGCCCACTGACAAAGAAATGATAAGCCTATAATTTTAATGGGAGGTGTATTTGAATAGTGAGAGACAGAATAACAACAGGAAAATCCAGAAAAACGCATGTCAAAAATGTTATAAATTGATTTGCATTTTAATGAGGGAAATAAGTATTTGACCCCCTCTCAACCAGAAAGATTTCTGGCTCCCAGGTGTCTTTTATGCAGGTAACGAGCTGAGATTAGGAGCACACTCTTAAAGGGAGTGCTCCTAATCTCAGCTTGTTACCTGTATAAAAGACACCTGTCCACAGAAGCAATCAATCAATCAGATTCCAAACTCTCCACCATGGCCAAGACCAAAGAGCTCTCCAAGGATGTCAGGGACAAGATTGTAGACCTACACAAGGCTGGAATGGGTTACAAGACCAATGCCAAGCAGCTTGGTGAGAAGGTGACAACAGTTGGTGCGATTATTCGCAAATGGAAGAAACACAAAAGAACTGTCAATCTCCCTCAGCCTGGGGCTCCATGCAAGATCTCACCTCGTGGAGTTGCAATGATCATGAGAACGGTGAGGAATCAGCCCAGAACTACACGGGAGGATCTTGTCAATGACCTCAAGGCAGCTGGGACCATAGCCACCAAGAAAACAATTGGTAACACACTACGCCGTGAAGGACTGAAATCCTGCAGCGCCCGCAAGGTCCCCCTGCTCAAGAAAGCACATATACATGCCCGTCTGAAGTTTGCCAATGAACATCTGAATGATTCAGAGGACAACTGGGTGAAAGTGTTGTGGTCAGATGAGACCAAAATGGAGCTCTTTGGCATCAACTCAACTCGCCGTGTTTGGAGGAGGAGGAATGCTGCCTATGACCCCAAGAACACCATCCCCACCGTCAAACATGGAGGTGGAAACATTATGCTTTGGGGGTGTTTTTCTGCTAAGGGGACAGGACAACTTCACCGCATCAAAGGGACGATGGACGGGGCCATGTACCGTCAAATCTTGAGTGAGAACCTCCTTCCCTCAGCCAGGGCATTGAAAATGGGTCGTGGATGGGTATTCCAGCATGACAATGACCCAAAACACACGGCCAAGGCAACAAAGGAGTGGCTCAAGAAGAAGCACATTAAGGTCCTAGAGTGGCCTAGCCAGTCTCCAGACCTTAATGGAGGAGATCTGCAAAGAGGAGTGGGACAAAATCCCTCCTGAGATGTGTGCAAATCTGGTGGCCAACTACAAGAAACGTCTGACCTCTGTGATTGCCCACAAGGGTTTTGCCACCAAGTACTAAGTCATGTTTTGCAGAGGGGTCAAATAATTATTTCCCTCATTAAAATGCAAATCAACTTATAACATTTTTGACATGCATTTTTCTGGATTTTTTTGTTGTTATTCTGCCTCTCACTGTTCAAATAAACCTACCATTTAAATTATAAACTGATCATTTCTTTGTCAGTGGGCAAACGTACAAAATCAGCAGGGGATCAAATACCGATTTTCCCTCACTGTGGTTGCTGCTCGCTAAAAGCACTTGCCCCAACAGTCTGCGAAGGCCGCACGGGGGGAGCTTCGTCTTTTGTTTGTCTCTGTGTACCGGCATCGAGTTTAACAAACACGCCGCGCTGCATCTGTCGGCTGCCGTGCCGCCGACACGGCGGGGTGTCGGGAGGGAAAGGAGCGATGGCCGCTCTCCCAGTCGAGCACCGCGCATTCCTGAGGAGCCACTTTTGGCAGCTCCACGTGTGAATGGGCGTGGCGCCGGCCACCCACCCGCTCGTGCGCCGTGCCGGCCTTCATGGGGCGCTGCTCGCGAACGGCACTTGCCCCAACAGTCCGTTCAAGCGATACGGGGGCGGGGGGGATCCTTGTCTTTGCGTGCGCGCGTGCGTGTACGCTGAGCGTGATATCTGTGAGCCGACCTTCAGGAAGGAGCCGCAGCTCTCGCAGAGGAACGCGTCGTGGGGGTGCGGTCCCCCCCTCTCCTCCTCCTCCGCGCACGCCGCACACGCGCACTCGAAGCGGTACTCGGAGCGCAGCAGCCGCCGCCGCTCCGCCCCCTCCATCCGCTCCGCCTGCGGCCCTGCATGGTACGCGGATACATGGGCGAACACGCATACACAGACGCACGCACACACGCATACATGTGAACACACACATGCATCCACGCACATACAATGGAGCCGTTAACTGAATATCCCGCATTTTGCTCCGTATTCTAGCAGTGTCTTTAGAAACGTATTATACTGAAACTAAACGATGTTGATTTTATAGCTCTTTTTTCAGAAGCGACCTGGCCATTAATGATAGCTCAACGAAGTGGCTTATCATCACGTGGAAGTTTATAGCATCCAGATACTCTAAACACGTGATGTTGATTCTCAATGTGGACGGAAAAACCGGATGACCCGGAGAAAAATCCACATGACCACGGAGAAGAGAGAGAGACACGCAAACTCCAAATATACAGGTGTCAGGGGCGGGCTCGAACCGATAACGTCTTGCACACCAGGCGAGGTAGTTAACATCTCCTATCCACGGTGATGATGATGATGAGAGAGAGAGACGCAACCTCCAACTATACAGCAGCCGGCGTCAGGGTCGGGATCAAACCGACGACCTCATCATCTCGCTACCGTGAACGGCCGATTGAGTTCTCCTGGCGCGCGGCGTGAAACGTCGGACAAGCAGAACCACACGCAGCGGTGCAACCCAAAAACACCACGGAGAGCTACTCAGCATTAGCAGCAGCACGACCGAGAAAACAAACGTGGTGTGACATATGTAAACGAGGCAGTACAAAAGACCGGCCCCATTGTTGTTGTTGTTCTTTACCCACGAAGAGCAGGGGGGTGAAGACCTAAGACTGCGTCGTCTGGGTTGATTGCTTCTTAAAGAGTAATCTGTTCACTTAATAAGAAATAAGTAATATTTTAAAAAAACCTTTTTTTTAAACACGCTTTAATGAAATGTACCGTACTAGTAATGGCAGAACTCCACGACTCCAGGAAGTGGCCCCGAAGCTTGCCATAACGTAAGGGGACCGTGGTCATTTACAGCCAACGTCAGTTGAGCGTGGGCAATTAGACCCAAGCCGAAACATAACATAGGAAAAAAGATTGTTTAAAAATATTCAAATATTCATTTTTAATATAGAATATAGTATTGTCATCAGTATGACATAAGTATACCAAGTTTGCAGTCGATACCACATTGGGAAGTGGGTTAAAACGACAACAACAGACAGTGAGTTAATAGAAAGCGTGCAAAATCAAGCGATTTCCAAAGCAACACAATTATTTCCACATATGAACCTTATGCCGGTACCCCGGGGTACCACAGTACTCCGGCTCTAGCACAATGTCCGTGATGCAGTCGTTTTTAGTCTGTTGATGGTCGGCGATGCGGCAATCGACTCATCTCGACGAGCTGTACTCACGACGATGCACCGCTACGGTGCGTACGAGCGTTCGGGGTTTTCGGCACGATTGTCCTCGCTGCGCTTCGACATCGCGGAGTGGCACCACCGATTTCGGATTGATTGGTTACCCCAGTCGCGGAGTTAAGTAACACCCCTGGGAAAAAAAAAGTGTCCCAGAAATAAAATATTTAATTGCCTCGGCCATTTTGTGTTATTTGGTACCCCGGGGCACCGCCACGTTGGATCATTTGCAGGATGGACGACAAGCAGGAGAATTAAAGACGTGTTGCTCGTAAAAAGGGAAGGGAGCGTAAAGCGAGGGAGACCGCACAGGGAGTGGCTTGACGCCACATCCCTCTGCTGCCAGGAAGATGTGGCACGCCGCTTGAGCAAATTGGTACAAGACAGAGGAAAGTGGAAACAACAAATGACGAAACGTGCGGTGTACGCCTATGGGCTATCTGGCAATGGATCGTGGTGATGATGACGACGATGACGACGATGATGGCGATTATGTCACGGACTTAAATGACCGTAATTGGAATGGAGGCACGGAGCCAAGACTCAAAAGCCAGGCAAGAGAGGTGGGGACTTTAAAGCGTCTCTTAAAAGTATGTGCTGATCCCCGTCTTCTTACCCCCCCCCCCGTGCCCCTTACTCCCTTAACCTAAGTTCCTCTTCCCCTACTTTTCCCTTCCCACATAAAAGGACACGCACACACGTCGCACGCGGTTCCCACTCGGTGGGGCGGTGAGCACAATCTCCTCCCTCCTCGACGTTCTGCAGCATAGAGCTCGGTGCTTAGGTCTCCGGAAATTTCTTTACCCCCCCTCCCCCCGCCCTACGTCACGGTCCGTGCTCTGTATCGGGTTTCTAATAAAAGAATAAGAAAAAAAAATCGGTTCGGATGGAACGCTACCTGCTGCTGTGAAAGTGCAGCGCCGGGACGGTGATGCTGGCCGCTGATTTTCGCCAGCACGGCTAAATCCCCGACCCGGAATAAACCGCCCCGCAGGCGACAACTCCATAGCTGTCAACCCATACGGTTCACCCCGTATTCTTGTACAGGGAAATTGAGTTTTCAGGTTCATACAGCGTACAGCCGTTTCAATATGGACAACATTTTTTTAAATATTTGTTTGTGTTTCTCCCTTGTGATGCGACTTTGTAGGATGAACGTTGTGATTTATAAGGGGCACGGGGTGACCAATAAGGTCTGAATTGGTCTGTGATAAGGTAGGGCACTGTTAAGGAGTTGACAGGTATGCAACTCCCTGGGTCGAGCGTACGAGCGCATGGCTCGCGCGACCACCACCGCCCCCCCCCCCGCCTAGCCCCCCCCCCCAGCCTAGCCCACCCCCGCGTGCGCCCACCGTAGCAGTGGAGCAGCTGCTCGCCGGCGAGGATCGGCGCGGCGGCCCGCACGGTGAGGACGGCGCCGCGGAACGCGAGGCTCACGTTGGGGCGGCACGCGTGGTTGAGCAGGCTCGCCACGGGGAACAGCGCCACCGCCACGCGCCGATGCTCGCTGCTCTCCACCGCCGCCGCCGGCGCGGGGAAAGCTGCACGGGAAAGGTGGGGGGGGGGGGGCGGGGGGCGCGGGTGGCCACGTAGCAGTGGTGAGCGCCCAACAGACACACGCCGCACATCACATACGCTGGACATACAACACACGAAGCACGTACGTTGAATTTATTTCGCGCCGTACGTAGCCAACCGTGCTAATCGCAGGTGCGGAAGATATAATGATATCATGATCACCGGTCCGAGTCACATCTCACACCAGTTCAGTATTGTCCAGGAAATTGTGGAGGACAGTGTGGGAGTGATGAGACCACACCGTGAGCCGCGCCCGCGTTTCACTCGCTCTTACATTAATTTCTACACTCCGCTACGTCATCGTTGTGAAATTTGAACAAATCTGCCCCATGGGCCACGATGGTACGTGGCATTCCACTCATCCAGTTCTATGTCCATGCACTGTTAATGCGCGAATTTTGATTGAAATCGAAGCGTCACGCTCACTTGATTGTTTCTTGTCAGTGTGGATATACGTGTGGTGGTCAGACAGCAAAGACGGGCAGCAGGGACACACAACAGGGGCCACGTGTCATCGCACAGCGCGGTGACGGTGCGCACGAACGACATCACCTGTGCCGCTGCTCAGCGTGGTCACGGCGTACGCGTTGCACCACAGCTGCAGCAGGTGGCGCAGCAGCAGCGTCCCCACCAGCAGCAGCTCGCCCTGGAGCTCGGCCGGCGCTACGACGTGACCCCCGGCCCCCGTCGCCCCCTCATCCTCTCGCCCGGCGCCGCTCCGCCCCGACTCCGGTGATGGCGCCGTACCGCCCGGCTCTCCGCTCAGAAAGGAGAAACCCAGCTCGTGGAGGTGCCTGCTCACGTCAGCGACGATCGCACGGACTTTAAACCGGAGCGGGGGGTGGGCGGGAATTTACAGAGCCGCCCATTCCCGTTGTACGCACGCACCCCACCGGTACGTATGCCTCACACTACCACCCCACCTCCCCTCCAAAGAGGTGGTGGTGTAGCCCCCCTGCCCCCCCCCCCCCCGCCCCCCACCCTGTACCTGCACACGGCAGCCGCGGCCCAGGCAAGGGGAAGGATGTGCGCGGTGTCGCGCGTATCCGCGTGAGTCACTAGGTGGTAGACGGCTCGGTAGTCGCTGCGATAAACCGCGTCCTCTCCGCACCCGGCGATCTTCACCGCGGACGCCGCCGCCGATACCGTCGGAGTTTTATCCACACCCGGCGTTCCAGCTGCGTCCGTGGGCAGCGTTACGGGGAGGTCATGGACGGACAAGTAGATTTAAATCCGTATTACATGAGACAATAGTGAGGACAGGCAACGGCAAATAAATCTAAAACACGGGATTATGCAAAGTGTGTGTCCTTTAGCTCCCCGTGCCGCGGGTTGTTCGGTGTCATGTCCATCGTTTTTGCCCCACGTGCTGGGAGCTTCTTCAGGATTTGAATTCCTAAAGCAGCTTCCGGCAGGTGGACTGAAACGTCGGACATTACACCGAACAACACACGGGTACCACCCGATAACGTGTCAGTAGTTATGCGGCACGACAGAGAAAACTGACGCCGTGGTATTTGCAAATGGAGTTGCAGCTGGGCTCATTTGCAGTCGCACCTCTAGAGCATTGTCCTTCACTAATTTTCAGAGGGGGGCCGCACTAAAGGCCACCAGGGCCGCCGGTGGCCCGCGGGGCCTTGCAACGAAGACCGCTGCTCTAGAGGGCGCCGGTTTCCGCACGGTCCGCACCTTTCTCCGCGTCGCTGCCGGCGCCACTGGGCGCGTCGCGCAGGAAGTCGGCGCAAGTCCGCGCGATCTCCTCGTCGCCCCCGCTGGCGTCTCCGCTCACGGCGGCCACCACGCCACGCGGCCCGGCGATGAGCAGAGTCCTGAGGCTCGCCTGTACGAAGGGGCCCAGGCCCTGCAGGAGGCCACGGCTCGCGAGGGCGCACTCCACGCTGCCGTGATGGCGGCTACGCACCGCCGCGTCCCGGCACGGCTCCCCGCAGAACCTGAAAGAGGCCAAGAGTGGCGCTCGATGGGCATTGAGATTCCAGTGGATGGTCAACAGGCTCTGCTTTAATCATGATGATGATTACTTGAATCGTCCTCATCAGCAGCAGCCACGATCAAACTTCAGTAAAACCTTGGATTGCGAGCATAATTCGTTCCGGAAACGTGTTTGTAATCCAAAGCACTCGTATATCAGTTGTGATCACGTGACGCTCGGCAGACAAAGCGTAGACGTACTACTCGTATTGCAAGACCTCGCTCGTTTATCAAATTAATATTTACGTAAAATTTTTGCTCATCTTGCAAAACACTCGCAGACCAAGTTACTCGCAATCCAAGGTTTTACTTAACTTTGGGACGAAGGCCTCCACGTGCCTTGGGGGTCATGGGCATTATCTGAATATGCTTCACCACACTGGTCAGTTGGAGTTGGTGGTGGGGAGCAGGTGCTGTGAGCATAGAAGTACACCACAACATTTTATTTTTCTGCACCACCTCCTGCTGATAATGTCGCCCTATAACATAGCCTTTCTCACGGTCTAAACGAACGCCCATCTACTCATGCCCAGGTCATTCTCGAGAGGCAGGAACATTGATGATTGGCTGATAGCACCGGTGACACAGACGCGAGTAAGAGTCAGGGGGGTGTTTTTGCATCCGGGCATCATTAAGAGGCAATGGTCTTGGCTCACCGTGCGTAGCTGCAGCGCTGGCACGGCACCGGCAGCACCGGCTCGGCCTCGCGCAGGCAGTGGTGGCAGCAGCGCTCCTCCGGGGACAGGGCCCTCTCGCGATCCGCGTCGGCGTCGGGGGCGACGGCGCTGGCGAACGCCGGCTCGACGAGGAGCGTCTCCCCAGGGTGGAGGTCGCGCGCCGCCACCAAATGTCTCCCCGAGCGCTCGCTCCAGCGCAACTGGAAGCAAAGGGCAGCGTCGGGAAAGGTCACGGGGTTTCCTTCACAACTCACCCTTCCATTCAATACATTTTTTTAGGCGTCAATGTTATAACCATTTGGTTATGCACCAAATGATTGCTTTAAAACACAGGGGAAACTGCATCATAACCCAGAGAATACGGTAATCACATGGCAATCAAACTGAGCATTTTTAATCTCCGCTCTTGGACACGTTGAATTAGACTTCTCCGCGTGTCGCCCCTTGTGTCTCAGCTGAATGCCGCTTTTATCCTCGTACCTCCACAGACACTCGCTCCCCCGCGCGTCCTCCGTTCTCCGCGAGCGTCTCGTCACGCCCACAACCCCCGGCGGCCGAGACGTCCGGATTGCCCATGGCGGCGACGGCGGCAGTGGGATTGTCGCCTGGGTTCTGCCGCGCATGCTCCAGCGCGGCTAGAGCGTCCGCACGGCGAGACAGCAGCTTGTGGGTGAGGCGCGCGGGGTAGCCGTTCGCCAGCGCGCGGTCGATGTCGTCCAGACAGGCCTGGACATTCCCTCGTAACGGGGGGGGGGAGGAATTTCGTGAGTGAGGCCGCGGCGCGCGACCCGCATTACAACTGCCAAAGTAAAACGCGACGCGGTGAAGCCGCCCCGATGCCCCCTTTCTGCGGCCTCCGTAGGGTCTAATGAAGGCGGGTGAGAGGGACGGCCGCCACGGGGGCAGTGGCGTCGGAAGTGAAGAGAATTTTGGGCCACTGGGGCACGATCGTTTCCTTCACCGATATCTCCTGGCAGTGTCTCTCCACTGGCCTCAGCCCGTCGCTGCATACTTCGACTGAGACAGCTTCCATCCTGTCCAATGTCTAATGCATGAAATCAAGCACCAGCCTCATCAAACTAGCCAATCAGGCACTTTTGCTGCTATAAGCAAACCAGTCAAATCAGACACTATACCACTTTTGCCGGAGTGACAAATACACTATCCATAGACCTGGCCTTAGACCCATTAGCCTTAATTACACTGGACCACTACACCTTAGCCCTGCTCCTCTCTACTAAGAGTAGCCAGATGCTCACCTGCATCCACAATCGAGCCCTAGTCCTCGAACCATTCTACTGGCTCCCAATGCAAGCCCGGATCAACCACAAGATCGCATTCACTGTCCGCAAAATCCTCCATTGACTCGGCCATTCTCATCGTGCTCGAATCCCCTCCACGTGCTCTCCACTTCAGCAACTCATGCCTCATGTCTAAAACCTCCGAACCTTTAAATGGGAGGTCACTCTCCTGGGCCTCTCCGTGTGTGTCTGCACTTCTGAAACCCTTCCTCTGTTCAAGTTGAGGCTCGCTGCACCGCTGGGTGAATTGTGCGGTTATGGTGAACGGTGCGGTTATGGTGAACTGTGTGGTTAACCGTGGGCATGAGTGTGTGAGAGCAGCACACCTGGTGATGCTGCATGTGAAAGAGGGCGGCCGATCGGTTGGCGAATGCCAGGGCCTGCTCCTCGCTGCCCGGGGTCGCCAGGCAGATGCTCTGTGGTGGCACAAGATTGGTAAGAAGCGGCACAAGTCAGAAACGGCGATCAAATCAGAATCATATTTATTTATACTGGAGGAATCCGATGAGCTATAAAGCTCTTTTTCACAGATATCCAGTAGGGGCAGGTCAGAACGTTACAACAACAAACAGTACAACATATCGATAGAAGTGCAAAGTATTGGAAAGGCAAGCAAATCCCTGAAAGAATATACAAATTAAACTTATTTTTCAGAAGTGACCTGGCCACAAATGACAGCTCAACTAAGTGGCCCAAGATGTGGAAACTTTAAGCATCCATGAGAGGTCTAGCAGCCAAATCCCTGAAGAAGCTTCCAGCACGTGGAGCGAATCGTCGGACATCATGCCAACAAGCTATGCACGGTACAACCCGGCAAAACATCTTAAAGCAATACAGCACAAACACAAAAACCCACGCAATAGCTTTTAACATTGGTTGGAAATTGTGAATAAACGGCAAAGTCGCAAACGGCCTCTGTGCCCAGACAGACGTGGAGCATGAGACCCCTCCGGGTGCCCGAGTGGTTACCCTGGAATAGCAGGCCGCAGCTCGGCCATTCTGCTTCTGTTGGAAGAAGCGGTTTCCTTCCTGGCGGTGGCGCAGGGCGCCCGCGGGGTCCTTGGCGGCGGCGAGCGGCGCGCACGTGCGACGCAGCAGCGCCTCGTCCTGCTCGCTGTTGGCGTCACGCGGCACGGAGAATGACGGCGGGTCACGGCGACGCACGCAACACGTGGAGCACCCGCGCCGTGTCCTGTCTGTACGTCCAGGCAACTCTCGATTGGAGCTTGGACGATTGACTAAAAATGACAATCCATTACTTTTTTTCCAGATCAATAACTGGGTGGCCCAAGCAATTCATCAGGAAAAAGTAATGGAAAACCGTTCATTAATTACTGGGTGGCACAAGTAATTGATCAACGGTTTTCCTGATTAGTCGAGTAATCAAAATTCGAATTGGTCGATAATACTCGGTATTTATTCCCTGGTATGCATGGATATTCTCTGCCTATTTAGGTGTCCACCCACATGTCGAACTCTCATGAATGGAAATGGCCTAACATCGCAATATAGGACCCTCCTGAAAGTGTTGAGATTCAGCAGTGATTTTTTAAAATGGACAAATAACATCAGTGTTATTTATTGGGAGTGCATTGCTGTACCACTTTAATTTTAAATGGATTTAATATTTAATTAAAAATTTCGTGACTGAAACATCTTTTACTTGCATTAATCTCAACGGTCGTTTACGTTCTGTTTTGCACGGGGTATACTTTCCGTTTACGCTTGGCAGCAGTTTAAAGTATGGGTGCCACAGCAAGTCAATAGTTATTGCAAGGGCCTCTAGCACCGACAGAAGTGACGAAGGTGAGTGGCCAGCAAAAGGTATTTGATGGTTCTGTTTGGCCCTCAGTAAGGACGAGGGTCCCCACCCCTGTGGTACAGGACACGTACGCCTCATTTCACGTCGACTGGCACGGTTGGCTACATACGGTGCGAAGGAATCGCAACGTACACACAGCACGCGCAACGCCCCTGCCAAGCCACGCACGAGCTTTGAACACTCGGCAAACCTCCAACACCCCTACGTACTGATCCACAACAGTTGACATCTTCCACACGAGGCGACACAGCACACACATGGTGCCACGCTCCTCCCACCACATCCTCACTTGCACGCTCTGTCTCACATCTTGGAGGTGGCCGGGTAGCTCAAGAGGTCAAAGAGCGCCGAGCCTGGTGCTGCTGAAATTCGCGTTTCGAATCCAGTTTAATGGCAGCAGGTGAACACGTGTTTTAAACTGGCTTCCCAAGCGTAGCGAGTCGATGGTCTCAGCCCAGCTCACCAATGATTGCACACGTTAAAAACCCATGCCATTGCAGCTGGTTTTACACTTAATTTGGCTAAACCATACTGTGCATCAGGGAGTTCTGGCAGGGTTGTGGGAAAGGTCCCTTAAAAAGTAATCTCAGTGGAAGCTCTGTACCATCAGCATCGCTGGGTCGCTAACGAGCCACGGCATTGCTCCCAGAGGGGTCTTGTTTTTGCCTGCTGACGTGCCGGCAGCACGTGGAGAAACACGTGCCCCCTCTTCACACGATCACTGGAGTGGAGTGGAGACTCCACGTGACCAGGTGCGAACTGACAACAAAAAAAACCACACCAGGATGAGTCTCATTTGCAAGTGAGCGAGTGACCTGGGCCATTGGTGCGCCGATGAGGAAGGCGATTATTTTAATGTAGCCCCAAAACTCGGTGAACCCTGACGCCAGGTCTGACCCACTTGAGCTATATAGCTCTCTTTCAGAAGCGACCTGGCGACAAACGATAGCCCAATGAAGTGGCGTATCGCGTGGAAATGCATTGCAGCCAAATAACTTAATAAACGCGTGATGTTTGATTGTAAATGTGAAGGGGAAAAGCGGAGAAACGCAACCAAGGCGAAAGAGAAACACGCAGGCTCCAAATATACAGCGGCAGGCTCCAAATATACAGCGGCAGGCGTCACGGTCGTGATCGAACCCACAACCCCACCCCCCACCGTGTGTGTGCCAGGCGATGTGGTTAACGTGACACTGCAACAAGCGGAGAACGCGCACAGGCCACGGTCACGACAGACAGCCACGGCACCACTGACGTTACATCGTACAACAACAACCACCGCCATTCGCCACTTAAGTGGCGGTGACGTCACAACGACGCTTGTGCCAGGCTATGTGCACCTTGAGGCCACGTGAAGTGTCACATCGTACAACTACCGCCATTCGTCACTAAGTGGCGGTGACGTCACAACGACGCTTGTGCCAGGCTATGTGCACCTTGAGGCCACGTCACGTGAAGTGTCACATCGTACAACCACCGCCATTCGCCACTTAAGTGGCGGTGACGTCACAACGACGCTTGTGCCAGGCTATGTGCACCTTGAGGCCACGTGAAGTGTCACATCGTACAACCACCGCCATTCGTCACTAAGTGGCGGTGACGTCACAACGACGCTTGTGCCAGGCTATGTGCACCTTGAGGCCACGTGAAGTGTCACATCGTACAAAGACAAAGATCCCCCGTATAGCCTGTAACAGACTGTAGGGGCAAGTGCTGTTAGCGAGCACCTATGAAGGCCGGAACGGCACACGAGGGGGTGGGTGGCCAGCACCACGCCCGACCGCCTTTGTCTTCCCAGTGGCGATGTTTACACACCGCACCAGGTACTCATTTGAGGCTGAGTCGACCTAGTGGAGGCCCAGGACCGGTTCAGATAATCGTCACTGGTGTTGGCCGCGAGCGGGAATCGACCCCGGGTGGCCAGGTTAATAGCGAGGCGCGCTAACCACTACACCCACCGCTCCCCACATTGTACACACACCCCGACACATCCAATCACTCCAGTGGCGGAAATTCCACATTCTCACGGCGGAATGCGGGCTGGTTGAAATTGATGAGGGGGTGGGGGAGAGAACCAGTCACAAGCAATGAAGAAGAGGAAGAGTGGCCATTCTTTTACAGACACACCACACTGGCCTCCAGTCGTGGGAATATGGAATTTCCATCACGGGGGGGGGGGGGGGGGGAGTCAATTGAACAAGGGGTTCCATCATCTCAATGGGTCCGGGCCCCACCTCCACTGCGACCAGCACCGGCGGACGAGCTTTGAAAGCGACGGCTGCGGATCGCCGCGCTCCCTCTCATCCCTCGCTCGCTCCCCACTCTCATCCCCTGGGCTCCCCCGACCGCCCGGCTCCCTCTCGTCGCGCCCCGCGTCTATCCGCTCCCTGCTCCCCCCCTTCTCGTCAACTCGCTCCGAGCCCCGAGCCTCGAGCGCGGCGCTCAGAACGCGCGGCAGCAGCAGCGGCGGCGAAGCCATTGGGTGGTGGCTGTTGGGGGGGGTGAACGCACTGTACGTACAGTACGCGCACGTGCTTATAGGGCCCCGCCCACCCGCTAGCCCCGGAGCGCTTTAAACTGTGAACATACAGGGAACTCCTCGACTTACGAACGAGTTAGGTTCCAGAGGTCTCTCTGTTCGTAGGTCGCTTTGTTCGCAAGTCCCAACTTTACTCCTGCCGATTCCAGACATTTTGTACATGGGCATGTACACTAAACACGGAGGAATGGCTTTAAAAGATATACGATCTCCTGTAGATGCCACTGACTCTTCACGTTCTGCAGATGTAGAGATGCCACCACCGCCATCTATTGCGCGGCGGTTGAACTTACGACTTTCGGTCCGAACAGGCAACTGGACATACGGACCGGTTTGTTCGTATCTCTGAAAGTTATTAAGTCGAATGTTTGTAAGCAGAGGAGTCTTTGTAAATCTGAAGTATTTATACTGAAAGAATCCGACAGCCATAAATGATGAGGTGAGCTTGGGCAGGACACGTTGCTTAGATATGCCGGCCGGTGGTCAATACTTAACGTTGGAGTGGCAACGACAGGAGAGAACGTGCCACAAAAAGTGTTCCTACTACGGGAATGTGCTCGGTGGATCGCAACATTGGAGGATCGTGAGATGACAACAGGTTGGGGCGTGGTCCCAATGCAGGAGTGGAACGATCGTGATTGATGATGAGGACGATGCTGGTTTTAAGTCCAGGCTGTTGGCAATTCGGACGACTCCAATCGCTTTCAGCCATTTGTCGAAAGAATATACATCGTACGGACAACAGATTTTTGCAATGTCTTTTATTAAAACCAAATAAAACTATCACGTCCTTACACTCACTTTCATAAATATAAACTTCAAACGTTAAAACTTACTGGACGCATTCCGCAGGTCCTTTTGTGCGTGCATTAAGCTCAAGTGCTATGCCACAAATGCCAATTCTGGCATCTCAAACAGCAGTGTATGAAATGGACCAAAACAATACTGTTGCAACACGTTAGTTTAAATGCTCACCTGAACTTGGTCTTCATATCCCTGTGTGACGCAGATCTAAACGGGTCCAACCACCTGTGTATGCAAGTGTTTTCTGCAGACGTTACAGATTAGTGCCTTGCACAGTTTGAGGTGCAGTGCTCGCTATCCCGCAGCAAATGGGCAAGGTCACATCTGTATTGTTGTGCGAGACTGACAGAAGCAAACTGTTGATCTGAAACGTTAACCTATGTTTATGATAAGAGCTTTTAAAATTGTGTAATACTTACATGTGATAAGGGGGGAAGGGTGACCCTCCGGTTAGTGCAGTGCTATAAACTCGGCAAACCTAGCTCCATTCCTGGCCACAGCTAAACATCAGTGGCAAGCGTTTTCTGAACCGGTCCTGGGCCACCACTCCATTAATCCATACCGACTTGCATGGTGAAGAGTATGGCAAAACAATTCGCATGACCAAAACAGCATGATAAACCTAGCACCAAGCAGGGTATTTACAATGGGTTGTAAATGATCAATGTTATCATCAAGTGCTTACTGACAAATACTAATTACCAATGAAATCAATTGCGCATCACGAGTTTCCCGCGAGTAGTTCGTGGAGCGAGCGGCTTCATCGTCCGCTCACGAGTACTGCAGCCTCTTCTCTTTCACCTTCTCATCGATGTTGGTGAAGTAATTCATCTTGGTAAGGAGCAAACGCGCCAACAGGAAGTTGCCTGTGCCGAACACACGCAATGGAGGGGACGGATTTAGGATGGAACACACGCGTCAATTGTTCACCATCATCGTGGAATTTTTCACAACACGCTTTCCAAGTCATTACATCTCACCAGATCTATAAAACAACCAATCTTTTTATAAAGAAGCTTACTAAATGAAATGCAATGTATCAAAATGAGCGATTGGTGACCGTCCATTTCCTCGTATAAATGCACACGAGTCATTGTTCACAGCTAAATGGGGAAAAAAAAAAATCTGAAGTCTGGAGTGGAATTCATAGAAGCTTGTCAATGCAGTACTACTGTAAGTCAGACCCTTCCGTAACGTCCACGCAATTATAGAAAAAGGCAAGCTCCGCAGGTTTTATGTTGTGAGGTATCTTTAGAACGGTTGATAAATCTTCCTTTTTGTCCTGTTTTTGGTGAAAATATGCCAGTGTCAACAACAACAGATAAAACGTCTATGATAATATGCTTTGGCCATTTTATCAAGGTATGAATCTAGCCCACTGCTCCATACTTAAGTGGGCATGTAATCGCTCGTTAAATGATAGTCTTACATTTACAAAAAAATGCATCAAACTTCGTAAGAATAATTTCAGATGTATTTAGAATTTTTATGCAACTATATTTTTTATCACTATTCTATATGCACAAGGGTAAAATATCAAATTGCGAATCGAATCATGACCCCAAATCATGACAATCAAATCGTGCATGGGGTGATTAATTAAACAACCATGTTTAATCATGCTCATATCCACGAGTAGTCATAGACATTCCATAAACTTAATGTGAAGGCAGTTTTTCCAAAGATATCCAATTGTATTTTCCACTTGGCTTTTCTCTCAAATGTTTAAAATGTCAATACAACAAAATTTCAAGACAAAAGGATACATGTACAGTAAAACCTTGGATTGCGAGCATAATTCGTTCTGGAAACGTGTTTGTAATCCAAAGCACTCGTATATAAGTTGTGATCACGTGACGCTCGGCAGACAAAGCGTATACGTACTACTCGTATTGCAAGACCTCGCTCGTTTATCAAATTCATATTTATTTAAAATTTTTGCTCGTCTTGCAAAACACTCGCAGACCAAGTTACTCGCAATCCCAGGTTTCACTGTATTGCGAATTGTTAGAACACCACCAGTCGCTGCACTTTGATGCCAGCTTCACCATCAGCCACAATGTCACAGCTCCCTCCAGTGGCCAATCCTCTGCTCTGATCATAGGTTGGCAGAACAAAGTAATTTTAGTGGGGAGGATGCGACCCACCAGAGATGGCTAGGACAAGCGTGGAAATTGGCAAAATGGGAGGTGGGGGCAGGACAAGACGGTCACCGACAGCTGCAGTGAAACGGAGCCAATGAAAGAGACGCAAGACAGAGACAAAGAGGGAGACGGACAGAAAAATACACAGGGAGACCGAGAGTCACAAAACAAAAGAGGAATAAGCCTTGCCCAAGATTAAGTATCGAGGAATAAAATGGGGTACCCTATACAATTTTCTCCATCTCCGCAACCTGGCGCCTGAGCCCCTTCACACCTTAGGCCCCAGTGAGTGCAACGCTTGACACTGCCATGGGCCGAATTGGGTGATATGGTAACTGTAACTGCTACTGATACTCCTGTTGTTAAGGAGTGACTCATGCAGCCAGCTATGGGCTGCAAAGTTTGGTCGTACATGTTATGTATATCGTTTATTGTTAAATTTGAATCACGGTTCCTATGATCACTGTTACATTGTTTTTATAGCTTTATTTTTATAGCTTTATTTTGGTGATTTTGAAAACGTTTTGGTTTAGCAATGTTTGTTCATTGTAGTACAGAGTTAGCCCGATAACTTTAATCTACATTGTCTTATGGTTGTTATTGTTTGACGTGCATACCATTGGGATTTTTGCACACAGCCTTGAAATACGGTGTTTTTTCTGGAAGACTTTGCCGATTTTTCAAGGATTTTTCTGTTGCGTGTAGTCACTTTAAGATGTTTCTTGTTCATGTTTTTGTTTTGTTGCGGTTGCACCCGAGTCAAGAGCCGCATGGCTCACAGGGTTATACCTAATAAATGAAACTGAAAACTGAAACTGAACTGGGGTCCGAATTGGTGTGTGTGTGTGTGTGTGCGCGCGCGCGAGTCTGGTCAACAGTTCGTAAGACTGTGCACTTTGCTCACCTGCGTCAAATGCCTGCATGACCTCCTGCGTCAGCTCCTGCAGCTTCTCTGCAAAACAACGCAGATCCTGACTGTGACTCACATCGACGTGAATGCAAGGGCATTGCGGTGCCAAACACTGCTGCTATCAAAACAATATGCAGCCAATCTGTTAGCACTAGCCAGGTCCCGATTTATGGTGAAGGTGCGCTCATTAACACACTTATAACCAGAGGCGGAGCCAGGGGGGGGTGACAGGGGTGACATTCTGCGTAGAAGTGTACGACACTCGGTCTGGCGGACTCCGTGCAACTGCATTGTCAGAGCGTGTCGCCAACCGATGGCGTCTAGTTCAACAGCCTGACTCTCTAATCATTCTTGAAATTAATATTTGTTGAATGTCACCCCGGCCTGAAATCCTGGCTCCGCCCCTGCTTATAACTATTCAAACCCGGAGCCTAAAATCAATGACCCAGGAATGGCCGTGAGCCCAACTCAACAAGGCATGATTTGAAATCTAATATGTTGGTTGGAGCAATTAAAATAAGGGCGCAAACATCTCTTTTCCAGGGTGGTGTTCTAAAGCATAATTATGTCACAATTATGCTATAAAAAGGTCACAATAATCCTATCACCCATTTTGCTAAAATGTCCTTATATTGTGATTATCATTGTTATTTTATTATTTTTTTCCTGAAAATGTTTCTGAAAAACTCATTAAGCTTGAAAATTACTTGCACATTGTCATGAATTTAGTGGTTTCAAAATAGTTTTGCGGAGTAATTAACTGCATGCCGATTATATAATGTAATTTCCATAAAGGACATCGGGGCATCCCTCGTGGCCAGTATCTACGCTGTCTCGGAAACGGAGTCACGCCGCTTCTCGGGGGCGAGCAGACTCACCCAGGTTGCACCTGGAGATGTCTTCGATCTCCTGTAAGGAGTCGGCATCCTCAAGGTCCTCGTTGATCTCCATGATCTCCATCAGGAACTCGGGGTCCATGTCCTCCGTTGTATCCTCCAACGACAGCCCATGCCGCTCCAGCTGAAACCCGCAAATACAAAGGGTCCCTCCCCATTCAGTTACGTGGAATTCAGGAGCAGGTGATGTCGGTAAGCATCTATTTAAGTCAGCGCAGCACCTAGAAGATGGCGCAGTGGCATTAACCACGGTTGCATGTGGTGCAGCGCCGATGTTGTCCCACATCACAACGAGTGCCCCAATGATTAGTGATGTTAGGCTGCGTCAATCAATGTAGAGGAAGCCCAGGCTGGTTTAATTACCACTCACCACGAGTTGAACGAAAAACAAATAAAAGCACTGTGTTGGCAAGGAAAATTACATTCGTTTCTCATTCAAAATACAGCACAAGAGAAGCGCAGTTAGAAACCTAGCTTGGGTCACCAAGATTGCGGTCCAACAAGCGAACAAGCCTGTATTTGCCAGAGGGATAAAATAAACGTAAACAGAGGAAACAACGGAGTAGGTTACCCCGGTTGGGCTGTTTTCTCCACACGGAGAGGGTAAAATCGCACATCATGCTGAATATCACGTGGCACAACCCAACAATGCATTGGACAGTGATTAGAAAGTGATTTTTGTGAATTGGCAATAAGCCACAGATGCAAACAAGCACTGCTGCCGTCCTTTCTGACAGCAAGCAGTGTGTGTGTGTGTTCTGTGTTGAGGGGTCGAGGCACCCTCAAATGAGTGCCTGGTGCAATGTGCAAACATTACACAAGGCACCCCCTCCCCCCCCCCCATGTGCCATGCTAGCCTTCATTAGGTTTTCGCTAATAGCACTCGCTCCAACAGTCTGTGAAGGCTCAACGGGAGATCTTTGTTTTTGTGTTGCGGGGTGAATTTAATCGGTTAACTTGCCAAGTAGACACCCCTGGGCAGCGGCTTCAGCAGCGTGTTGTAGGCCTTGTTCACAAGCGCAGACTGCTGCTGCGACAAGTCAAGCTCCCTCTGCACACACAGGAGACGTGGGTAAAATGCCAATTACTTTAATGTAATGCAGATGAACAATTAACCATGCCCTGTAGAATACGAATTACCCATTACTTTAGGTGCGTAATTTAAACACCAATTATAAAATTTACATTTAAATTACATGTCATTCAGATACTGTCCATCTCCAGTTCCAAGGTTAGCAATAAGCGCAGTGCATTAACCACTGTGCCACCACTCTTGGCAAAACATTACCTGCGACTTTTGGCTGAAGTTGTCTGGGTGTAACTGCCTCTGCAGGGCAAGGTAGGCCTGTTGTAGCTTCTGTAGGTTCACCGAAAAGGACTCGTTGCTGAAATTACAAAGCCCGCATGCCGAGAATTAAATAGCACAGAGGGCTTATGTTTAATCTCCGAGTGGCACTGGATAGGTTAACCCAGTTTTTAGGAATACTTTAACAGGCTTCAATGACAATATATTGAAGTTGTTTATCATTCAATAAAGCGAGTGCATGAAGGCGTTACAAAAGTTATTTCATTTAAATTAACGTGTCGGTGTTTAATTAAACCCTTGCTGCACAATGACACTTGTTTGATCCTGTGCGTCATATTTTGTTTAAATAATCTTTGTGTAGTGGTGTCAGCTTGCCAGAGATTTATATTTGTATGATAGGTTTGGGATTTTCTTCGTGCACGTTTAAGCTTTAATTCAATTTTCTTCATCGGTGTCGACGTTTCTGATCCAAATTATAATAAATTGGTAATACGCACTCACTGGAAACCTTCCTCTGCAGGCACATTGCTATAATGCTTTTCGTGATCAAGTTCTCTTTTCCCAATAGCACCCAAGACTTTTGCTCTCTCAATTCCTCTTTCACAATATGTATCCTAGGCTTGCCTTAACAGTGTGTGCGATTTGTTTTCTATATAACGTCGTCTTTGATACAAATTGCATCTCACAATCATTGCGGAACGGCTCACAAAGCATAACAGCTGGTGCCAACTATTTGTCAAAGCTCTGCAGTCCTATACAGTATATATAACCGTTTTCAGTCAATTAATGAGTGTTCACACACTCAATAACTGTCTGAGGTATACACACACTGACCGATTTTGCAAACTTGTTCACAACTTTTACTCATTTATCTACACCCTACAGCCTTCTTTATCAAGTTATTTTTTTATATATAATTTCCTCACTCCACTTATGATACACATGACTACATTCGTCATGTAACCTCAGTCGAGCCACTCCGTTCTCGTGACGGATATTAACACCTGTAATTTCGAAATATTCCTGACGATTTTAGAGCCACGGTTTTGCGTGAGCTCGCATGAAGAATCAACGCTCCCCGTATTCCAGTCGACATTCCCACCCACCCACCCCGCCCGCTCCACATGTCCGTCCGGTGGTTTCTGTCCACACCACCGGGCCCCCGGTTCACCCCTTTCGGCTCCCACCACCACCTCCGGGCCGTGCGTCCCTCACCAGCCCAGCAGCTGGAAGAGCGAGGCCCCCGGTCGAGGGGGTAGCACCGAGTGGCAGCGGGAGCAGAAGAAGACGGAGTCGGCACCGACATCGCTCCGGCAGCCCCAGCACCGCGGCGCCGCCTCTTCGCCGGGCTCCCCGACTTGGCTGGCGCCGCACAGACGCCTCACGGGGCTCGGACACAGCCTCGGCCTCGCCGACGGTGAGGCGGTGGAGGTGCTGATGCAGGAGGCGAAGATGACGGAGGAGGGATGAGGAGGAGGAGGACACGTCGACGTTCTCGCGCGGAGTGCCCCTCTGGCCATCGCCGGCCACAGCCGCGCCACGCAGGGCAGCATTGTGCGTGGAGTAAGGGGCAGCCGAGGGCTTGAGCAGCAGCAGATGGTGGAGGAGGATCTTAGGGGTGAGGTTTGACGCTGTGGTACTCTGAAACTCAATGTCAAAGGGCCGCGAAGTCCTGGGCACCATGGAGGGTGCAGCGGGTGAGATCTTGAGGAGACGGAGAAGCAGGAGGAGGAGAGAGGTGAGATGGAAGGGGAGGTGTTCGAAGCGGCGTTTCTCTTGGATCTTTATCTTCTTAAGTGACGTCTCCGCCGACCCGGCCCACCCGTCTCTCCTCGTACGGTAGCGATATACTGCGTGCGGCCTAGTCTCTCACGCGGCAAGGGCGCGCCTTCCCCCCGGCAGGAATCTAGGAGAGGCCGGCGGTCGTCGGGGAGTCGCGCTGTCAACACTTTTGTTTCCAGTAAGTTGAACGTTAACGAGCCCGTTGTTGTTGTTGCTTTCTCCTACGGGGGAGATTCGGCGAGGCTAAGAACGAAGGTGACGATGTTGTTGTTGGCTCCGGTTTGTATCGATTCGTCAATTCAGTTGCGTTGGACCGAACCTCCGTCTTATAGCGCGTGGATCGAATCGGACGAGTGAGTGGGGGAGGGGCTTTGGCGATTACGTACAGGCAGTCCCCGTGTTACGGAACGGTTAGGTTCGTCGAGAACGAACTGAATAATTTTCCACCCAAATCAACGATCAAATCCCATTGCCGGTAATAGTTGTGCCTCCCGTACCCGATTACTGGGTTGGTTTTCTCTCAATGCTGCATCGCGGTGCCATCCGTTTTCTATCGCTGCCCGTATCGTATCGCAGGACTAGAGGAGTTGTACACACCTACAGTGAGGGAAAAAAGTATTTGATCTTCTGCTGATTTTGTACGTTTGCCCACTGACAAAGAAATGATCAGTCTATAATTTTAATGGAAGGTTTATTTGAACAGTGAAAGACAGAATAACAACAACAAAATCCAGAAAAACGCATGTCAAAAATGTTATAAATTGATTTGCATTTTAATGAGGGAAATAAGTATTTCACCCCCTCTCAATCAGAAAGATTTCTGGCTCCCAGGTGTCTTTTATACAGGTAACGAGCTGAGATTAGGAGCACACTCTTAAAGGGAGTGCTCCTAATCTCAGCTTGTTACCTGTATAAAATACACCTGTCCACAGAAGCAATCAATCAATCAGATTTCAAACTCTCCACCATGGCCAAGACCAAAGAGCTCTCCAAGGATGTCAGGGACAAGATTGTAGACCTACACAAGGCTGGAATGGGCTACAAGACCATTGCCAAGCAGCTTGGTGAGAAGGTGACAACAGTTGCTGCGATTATTCGCAAATGGAAGAAACACAAAAGAACTGTCAATCTCCCTCGTCCTGGGGCTCCATGCAAGATTTCATCTCGTGGAGTTGCAATGATCATGAGAACGGTGATGAATCAGCCCAGAACTACACGGGAGGATCTTGTCAATGATCTCAAGGCAGCTGGGACCATAGTCACCAAGAAAACAATTGGTAACACACTACGCCGTGAAGGACTGAAATCCTGCAGCGCCCACAAGGTCCCCCTGCTCAAGAAAGCACACATACATGCCCGTCTGAAATTTGCCAATGAACATCTGAATGATTCACAGGACAATTGGGTGAAAGTGTAGTGGTCAGATGAGACCAAAATGGAGCTCTTTGGCATCAACTCAACTTGCCGTGTTTGGAGGAGGAATGCTGCCTATGACCCCAAGAACACCATCCCCACCGTCAAACATGGAGGTGGAAACATTATGCTTTGGGGGTGTTTTTCTGCTAAGGGGACAGGACTTCACCGCATCAAAGCGACGATGGACGGGGCCATGTACCGTCAAATCTTGGGTGAGAACCTCTTTCCCTCAGCCAGGGCATTGAAAATGGGTCGTGAATGGGTATTCCAGCATGACAATGACCCAAAACACACGGCCAAGGCAACAAAGGAGTGGCTCAAGAAGAAGCACATTAAGGTCCTGGAGTGGCCTAGCCAGTCTCCAGACCTTAATCCCATAGAACATCTGTGGAGGGAGCTGAAGGTTCGAGTTGCCAAACGTCAGCCTCGAAACCTTAATGACTTCGAGAAGACCTGCAAATAGGAGTGGGACAAAATCCCTCCTGAGATGTGTGCAAACCTGGTGGCCAACTAGAAGAAACGTTTGACCTCTGTGATTGCCAACAAGGGTTTTGCCACCAAGTACGAAGTCATGTTTTGCAGAGGGGTCAAATACTTATTTCCCTCATTAAAATGCAAATCAATTTATAACATTTTTGACATGCGTTTTTCTGGATTTTGTTGTTATTGTCTCTCACTGTTCAAATAAACCTACCATTTAAATTATAGACTGATCATTTCTTTGTCAGTGGGCTAACGTACAAAATCAGCAGGGGATCAAATACTTTTTTCCCCTCACTGTACATGGGTCCGAGCAAATTTGAAAGCTCCGAGGCAGACAGAACAATGCAAATATGAGATGTAAAGACTTGAAAGTAGGATTCTGGACAGGTCCTACGAGACAAGACAAAGCAGTACAAATAGTATGGGAGATTTGCGCTGTGCATGATGCCAAAATCCTCACTTCTGACAATGCGACCTCATATATAAAGGTGGTATGGTCCTCAACATGAGGTTGCCTCTACATAGATAAGGCATGGTCATCATACACGTGGTCATGCCATCACAATTCTTAATAAAGCCTCATAATTCCAAGTGTTTTTTTTCTTTTCTGGAAGTGCATGATCCTAGACACAGCCATGCCCTTGCATCTAAGAGGCGTGAAATAAATGTTTTAAGTGTTGACACTTAAAAAAATATATTAATAACTTGGTTACAATAAATCACAAAACTGGCAAAGACACATTTGCTCTCCATAATTTATTAATCAGAATTTAGTAACCATCATACTAAAAACATATGCAGATATCTTTCACAAAAATCTGATTTTCACAGTAAATGGTAATTGCTGGCCAACTTAACATGACCATAATGCATGGTGAGGTCATACAAACAGCTGAACTCTTAACAATGCAAAATAACGGACTTCATTCTCCACGCAGGTATGACACCTGCCCCGGGCAAGTGAGCAAACCCTGCGGACACCGTACCTCACGCGTCACAAAGGGATCCCCGTAACCTTGACATTAAATTGTTAAGCGGGGGCTGGGTGACCTCAGTTGTTGCGAGAGATGTAAGTTGGTGTTGTTGATGTTGTGTCAAGCACTGTCACGTTTCCACGAGCCACGGAACTTACGGGCTGCCCAAAAGTCAGTGTGGGAATTTAGGACGAGCACAAATACATCACCAAATACGGTTGGAAGTGGCAAAGTTTAATTAGCTAATAAACGTTTACTTTTTGTCGAAAAGAATCTTTAACTTTAACACAGAAGTATTTCTGGGAAACACCTGCCCTACCCACGTGAAAACTCAAGTTATTCTGAAAGTGGAAATTACAAATTACCACGATGTCTCTGAATGATCACTGTTGATATTCCTCAAAGTGGTACTCACCTCATTCCTGCTACAGGGATGTTTATGAACAAAATAACCCATAATACACCCAATGTCTTAATAACAATTTCATTTTATATAGCATCATTAATTGCTATATAAGATCTCAGAAGCTAAGCAGGCTTGCACCTGAATATTGCTTGAATGGGCGAGCAGCATACCATAGCGAATGTTGGCAGCACACAATCCAATGCTTCCATATCTTCACTGCCCGCCTTCAACAACCTGCATTTACCAGTGTGGTGAAGTATGGTCATATAGCCCCCATGGCTCGCATGGCATGGGGAGGCCCTCAACCAGCACTGGATTGACATAAGGCTGCACACATTCAGATTAGGATGATAGGTTGACGCCCATGTATGATTTGAACCCACAACCTTCTTATGATCGTGAGTCAAGCACTCTATCACAGTGCCACGAAGATAACTAAACAGTCCATGTGCTCATAGTCAGTGGCGTGCCTCCACTGTGCCGAATTCAAACACAGAGGTGGGCAAGGTACAGTTGTTGTTTGCCTCTTGACGGCGACGCGCCAAGACTGAGAGTCACGGCCATCACGTTCCTTCCTGCTCTGTGTGGCACTCCTGCACCTTCATGATGAGGGACAGCAGCTGCAGCTGTAGCGTGATCTCCTGCCACAGAAAGCACGTGTGCACAGCACGAGTAACGGCACAGGTGAGAGCAAGTACTTAACGAAGCACAATGTCCACATTTACAGCTGGAGCCAAAGTGATGTAAGAATTTCCAAGTTTATTTGTTTTAGCAGGTGACTACTCAAGAGGCCAGGATTGTCTCAGTTGCAAGAGGGACCTGGTCATTGGTGATGAAGCAGACCTCTATCCACCACGGCAGTGCATATGACATCATATAAAAAGTGGTTTACTAACTATAATGAATTAGCCTTTTGTCATAAAATGGATATCACAAGGACAAAAACAGCTGTTATGTGGTCACTCCAGACAAAATCTAAAGGGTGCCTAAACGTCTCTTTAAAATTTTGTTACATGACAAACAAAGTTTAAAAGTCATGCCCAACAGACAACCTGGAATGCACGGCCTTGGTAAATACAGCCGTTATTTTTCTTGTATTTCATCTTCTTTAAGATAAAGGAGCAAGAGGCGAACAGTTTAAAAATACAAAACACGCAAATAAAAAAATCTGGAAAATCTCACTGCCAAGCTAAGCCAAACTTCCAATTAATGTATAGGCATCGCAGCATGAATGAGAAACCAGCATCATTTAATAATTTTACCTTTTATATAAATTACTTTATTTAGTAGTTATACTTGTTCATTTTGGAAGGGCTTGTCTGGTACTCAATAGCTCCTATTAGCTAACTATGTATAAGCTTATTTAAAAACTGGGCATCAGAAAATGTTTAAAATGTAATAATTATCAGGCCCCATGGTGTTAATTGCAATCTCCAACCCTTTACTAATTTGAACTTTCTGGCCTCTCTATTTACGTGAGATAAAGAAGGCCGTATCCTCAAACACAGCCAATAACACTTTTTTATTGTAATGTGTTGTTACTAATGAAAGCAGAGTTGTTTTTGTTACTTGTGCACCCACTGCCAAAGCAGAATCACCAAACAATTTGTTTAAGTTTGTTCAGGTCAGCAACAAAGCACAAGCTCCGAATGCTGCCCTCATTATTGCGCGAGTCTGGAGGGAGTGTATCTCTGGTACCTGTGGATTCTGTGTGACGTAGAACCCAGGGACTCCGGACTTCTCGAGGGTACTCTGCTGATCCTCCACCTTTTGGTCCAGCTCCAACACAACATGCTCATCCATGCTCTTCTGCTCTGCTTTTATCCTCTTTTCAAGAGCCTGACGTGCGTGCGCGCACACACACACACACCGACACACACGTATACACAACAACAATCATTCACCACTAAGTGGCGGTGACGTCACCAAAGCTCTTGTTCCAGGCTACGTGCACTCGGAGGCCACATGAAGTGTCGAAGACTTTCTGGCAGCAGGTCACAGGACAGACCCAGATTCTATGGTTTGACCGACTGAGATGACAGGGAGGTGCACCAATTGTGCTCCCCACCTTGACA